TAGCATATGAACAAAGTTACAATTTTTCACTTGGCTTTCCAGAAGTATCAACTTTGCTCTGAATGCCTTGATAAGTGCAAATAAATCACAGACTAAGTTATTTTCACCCTGCAACTTTAAATTCAAATGGTTCATATGGTTCACCAGATCAGCAAAAAATGCTAATTTCGAAAGCCACTCAATATCTGATAAAAGTGGTTTGTGATGGTTTTTCTCGGTAAGAAATATATCAATTTCATTCCTGAGCTGAAAGAAGCGCGAAAGAACCTTCCCACAGCTAAGCCATCGAACTGCAGTATAATATGTCAGGTCAATAAGCTCGGAATCACATTTACCATTACTCATTGGAAAATTAGTTCAATTGGCGCATTTCTGCACAATTCTTTTGTGGGCCATAGTTTGGGGACCCTTGATCTAGAAAATGAGGGAGACCTGATGTCTCACAACCCTATAGACCTCCAGGGCCTGTTACATGGATAGCTTTACCTTTTTACATGCTCATTCTGACATATGAAGCAGAAACATGGCATGGACAAAGATGGATATTAGAAGAGTGACAGCAGTAGAGATAAGGTTTCTAAGCACTATATAAGGGAGAAGCAGAAGAAAATTATTCAGAACTTGAAAGTAAATACATTGCAAGATAAAATAATAAATAATATAATAAAATGGTATGGACATGTTTTAAGAATGAACACGGAGAAGATCCAAAAAATATATTGTGGCATGTAGACTCGTTGCTGGGCAACGACCGCCAGATAAGCAAATGTATGACAGCCGTTACTAAGTAACGGTTTCGCAAACAAGCATGTTTCCATGACAACAATTGGATACAGTAACAGGAACGTTGTTTTCTGTGCGGTCAGTGCCGAGATGTTATAAGTAGGACAGTTAATGAAATGAAGTCAGTTGAATGGAGTTAGTAAAGATGGTTGGTGAATGAATGAGTTAGAAATGTATGTGAACTGCTGAGGTTAAGTCGTTGTGAGCTGCTGTTATGAGAAGCTGGTAGCTGAGGCTGCAGATAGTTAGGAAAACCCGGAAGAAGGGGAAGACCCGCAGTTGGAAGCCGATACTAAGCAACGGATAATGACACCATGACTGTGGACACTAGTGCGTGTAACAGTGATCTATAAAGTGTAGTCATGCGCTGTATCAAAGAGTTCGATAAATCCAATCATCAATCCCAAACCCGTCTATAGCGATAATCATACACGTGACAGTTGGTGTCAGAAGAGGGATAATTGGATTATAAACTATTGGATTGAGTGAATAATTGAGCTGAAGACATTAGATTGTTATACCGCCATACAGTGGAAAGGGAACAAATTATGGCACACCTGCCAGCTAAAATAAGAACCAACCAAGAAAGGATGGAAGCCAAGATGAATGCCATTCAAGAAAAAATGGATGTCAATCTAAAAGAAATGAGAGCCAGCCAAGAACACCTGAAAGAAGAAACAATGGCTGGTCAGAGAACCCAGATAGGCTATCTTGCCTTCCATCTTAATGTAAACCAAGGAAAGGCGGAAGCCTGTCACCGAGAAGTGAAGGCCGGTCAAGAAAAGACGCAGGCCACAATACACTCCACCCGGTCCCATTTAGAGGAGTCAATAAAACAGGGTGAAAGACATACTAGCATGGTTCGACCAAAGGACGCAGGGCCTCCAAAAGGAACTTAGTGAGAAGATTGACGCACAAGTGGTGTTACAGGCAGTGAAGCCGTTCCTCGATATGCGGACAAAGAGCCTCTAGAAAATCCTAGTAGGCATGAAGAAATGCTCAGTCTCACGTTCCAGGTTGAGTCGCAGACAGCGAAGGTCCAAATTGAGGCCACCCATCACGAGTGCCAGAGGCAGGTGAAAGAAGTCGAGGCTCCGGTCAAGCGTGGAAGAGGAACAGGAACAATTCGCGGGCACAGCAAAGCCATCTAAGTTCGACGGGACTACATCATGGGTCATGTTCCAGCTCCAGTTCGAGACAGTAGCAGATCACAACTGCTGGATGCGCCTGGAAAAATCCACGTACTTGATCACAGCCTTGCAGGGCAGGGTAACTGACGTGTTACAGATTTTTCCCGAAAGGTGCGACCTATGAAAATTCTCTTGTAGCCCTGAATGACCGCTTCAGGGACCAGCACCTGGCCGCCGTGTATCACAGGCAGAAACAAAGACCTCGGTTGTCAGAGAATTCTTGCAAGAATTTGCCACAGCTGTCGAACAGCTGGCCTATCGCACCTACCCTTTACTACCCGAGGACCATATATGGGTGAAGACAGGCAAGGCGTTTGCCAACGAGGTAGAAGACCCCTGCCATAAAAATCCAGTTGCCCCTGGGATAAGAAAAAGTGGTGGATGAGGCTCTCAGACAGGCCCCCAAGCTGCAAGTCATGCTCCTTTCTGAAGGACCCCAAAAACGGGCGCCAACGCATTCTGGGACGGCCGATCGCCACCAACTGGATGAAGAGACCAAAGAAAATCGGCGTCCTGGAGCTATGGGGAGCCAGCCCATGTCCGTGGTAACCGTCCCAGCAGGAGGAGGCAGAACACAATGACCGGTGCAGGAAATGAGACCTGAGACGAGAGACACACGGGAGCCAGCAAGAAGGTCCGAATGGCAACAGAGAAACAACGGAGAGGTAGACAGGAGGGGTGGCCAACGGTTTGGAAACGAGTGGGTGCCAACGGAAAATGTGGATGCCGGAGTACCCATTATAGCCCCCACCACCACCCGCTGATTGTCATTATGGAGATAGGGCCGACCCTAGTCTAGTCACACAGGACTGGGTCCGTGACAAACCATACCTCGTGACTGTCAATACCAGGGCTTGCGTGACTGTCGCCAGGCCTGACATCTCCACCGGATGTCCTGAAAGACAGCCGAACCAACGCTTCATGCTACAGCCTTCCCCCATCTTGAACGAAGCTTTCCTCACACTGAACCTGGGCGGTGGCCACCGAAAACTTCCTTATTAATCACCAATATCACAAACAAATTCATCTTGGGGCTGTACATCCTGCACGCATATGATGCATCTGTGTACCTAGGGCTCCAAATGCTGCTTTTTGCAGAGGAAGCGGTATCATTAAAGAGCACTGGGGCTGGACCTCGGTCTCTTATCAGGATGTTACAAATGTAGAGTTCTTCAGGAGTGTGGGCCTCCATACTGGGTTGTACCAGGTCATTTTCCACTCTGAGTGGACTTTCAAATTGAGCCATCAGCACTCTGTCGCATTGTTCGGGTATCACGTGATCATTAGGCACTACCAGGCTGGAAGACCAGGGCCCACCCCAGGGTTACATAGCGTTACCTCTTCCTCTGCAAGATGCAGTATTTGGCTCCCTAGGTCCACAGATGCATCATATGAACACTCAATAACCAGCCCCAAGATAAATTTGTTTGTGATATTGGCGATGAGGTACTGCATGGTACTGTAAAAGTAAAAAGTAACTGAACTGGAAACAAGAGGAGGAATGTGAAACAGACATATTTTCTAACTTCATTTCACAGTTCATTAGATATCGTAAATAATGATATTTTCAATGTCTGCAGACTCTGCTGCCTGTTTACTTATCCCACCTTATTGCTGGAACTTCTAAAAAAACTGTGGAACACTATGCACAAATTATAAGATCAGGTAAGTGATAATGTTGTTTAATCATTGGACTTTTAATGTGATTCATGCAATCAAAGACACAGCTCATAATAGTATTCTGGTTACATGCTCTAAAATGTAGAACTCAGGTTCTTGAAATAAAATGGTTCCATCTTGGAGCCTAAAATTCTACCTAGCAGTTTGAAAGAATATTATTATAATGTGGTGTCATTTATGAACAGTCTCACAATATGAACCATCTTGGATTGCAGGCTGATATTGTGATTTATGACTCATAACTTCTGAGAGTATGACATAGCAGCTGATACTTCTGCTTCTATTAGGGAGGTATTGGATTTGAATCTCACCTATAAATAGACTGTCTTGACTGCAATTTCTATTAATTTTCACAGTCCCTCCAAGAAAATGCTGGAATAGTACCCCACAGTACGTCATGCCTGCTTGCTTTAAACTGTGATCAATTTATCATTTATTACCATACTGTCATTCCTTATTCCGTTTAACATTATACAACTAATGACTGGCACAGAATCACGAAATGAACAACCAACAACAGAATCACTCATAGGCAGATAAGACTGTTGGAAATAGTCTTCAGTGAAGTAAACATGAAGTGGTGCCTACTCTTCGGTAGAGGATGGGAGTGGTCATCATCCTATGCCAGCCACTTTACCCAGAGAAAGGCTGCCATAATACAATATCAGAGGATTATACCCATTCTTCTTCCTGATTCAGTGCCAACAGGTGCTCTTCTATGGAATGACAGATGGTTAAAAGTTAATTTTAAATTGAAATTATCGGATTATATATAATTTGTCACCAGTTATAATTATTCCCACCAGTACTGCAGATAACTAATGGCCAACTCTATAGCGAACCCAATGACAGGATATTTTGAGCAATGCAATCTCTAATGCTGCTAAAATTTATAGCTGACCTCACTTTGATGTGTTTAAAACCTTAGGACTCTTCAGTGGCAAGTACTCTGCTTTTTATTTACTTTTAGCTTCAGAGCTGTAAATTATCTCAAATATTTACCAGACATCACTAAAACAAACCTGTAGTCATAAAGGTAAAAAAACACTATAGCACTGTGCCATGACTGCTTATGGATGTGTGGAAGTATGGCTCCTCACATTCTTAACCCTGGCACTAGTTGCAGGTGAGTTGTGAGCTTCACACCTGACTGTCTGTATTATCTATTGGATAGGAGTCTGGGTGGGCTCCCAAATTAGTCTGGACATTACACAGAAGAGAAAAAATTTCTTGTCCCTCGTAAGAATCAAATCCTGATTATTCAGTCATCCAGCATGCATCCTTCTTTACTGACATGAAAATGCTGTGTGGTTGTTGTCCACCTCCATGGTTTTGTAACAGTAAATTTTTCCAAGGTTAGGTCATTAGCCCCACCCCAAACCCCTGACCTGAAGGACCAGAAACTACATTTTGTCTGGCCACTACCCCTTAACCAGTCTGGCATGGGTGGCCCTACCAGGAGCTTATACTCCTGCCAGCATAACTCTCAGATCACTGGGGCATGCAAACCTCTCCATGATAAGGTGGTAATCCTCAAGGGGTCACTATACATGATAAACCAAAAAGCAGGAATGAACTGAAGTAAGAATAGTAATGAGTGCTCCTTAGAGTTTCCATCTTCAAAGCTGAATTGTCAGAATAATCAACAAAGATTTTCTGCCTTTGATGCCACTCTGTCTGTACAGTAGCCTATCCCTTGGACAACCCAAGAGCCTAATTTTCTGGAAATTCACACAGGGCCTAGAAGGCTATAGGTGTTTCTAGAAGAAGACATCAAAGATACCACTAAAGAAAATGCATACAAAATTAGATAAACCACATAAATGGCATGACTGATGAAAGAATTCTGACAGAGATTCTACAGCATAAAGCAAAAGGATTCAGAGACAGGAAGACTTTGGAAACAAATGCAATGAATATCTGAAGCCATAACAAGCTATACTGTCCACTCCAGTGAGTGAAGATAAACGACAACAGGAATAAAAAAGTATTTCAATTATTCTTTCTGTCTGTGGTATTTATTTCACACTACAATAAGACCATCACTTTTACCATGTAATGAATATGTAGAATATTAAATCAGAAAAAATAGATTTCTATCATACAATTCCTGTTCTTAGGAGGTACTATAAGTGCACAAGAACTGAAATTCCATAGAGTATCATAATTTTTAATAGATACAATCTTTTGCTACCTTACATGTTTCAACCTTAAATGGTCATCTTCAAGAAGTAAACCAACAGTATTAAAGGAAATACTTTACATGAGTCTTTATTACAGTACTAGTTAATGTACTGACTTACTGAAGGGACTGGTGAAATTAGTACTAGTGATGGTTAATATTAAGACTAAGTAGTTAAAACAATTAAAATGGTTATGTTGTGTAGTCAGAAGTAAGATGCATTAACAAATTTGTAACATGTGGCCACTTAAGGTCAAAACATGTAAGGCAGCTGAAGATTTTATCTATTTATTGAAAACCTATTACATTTGATGGAATTTTAGTCCTTAGGTATTAAGAAACTGTAACAGCATATCTATATAAAGACGTGGACTATAAATATTCATGCATAATGCATGTGATATACTCCATGCGTGTTGCAGATGGAATGATGTTAGGGTGTTCTGAATTTGAAAATCACTGTAGAGTACTTGTATGTCAGACTGAAGTAGCAATTATGCTCCTAACTTTTACCGAGGAGGTACTCAGTATGAATTTTGAATTGACACTACCTATCCCGACTGAGGTTTTTCGTTATTTTATTCAGTCCCTCCAGGAAAATACATGGATAATATATCAGTTAGGCCACTGTGACTTCCTTCCAAATCCCTTTCATGTTATTATTTATCTAACATCTGATGCTCTGAAGTATAGTTTTGATGCTGAGAGTGACATTGAAAAATCAACTAAAGAAAAAGTACTTGTATGTTTTTCATTCATTCATCTGTGGCTCTACAGCCCTTTGTTGGGCCTTTGCCGCTTTTTCAGTTTCTTTACCTTTTACACAGTAGGACTCCCTAGTCAGGGGATCAGCCTGTCACAAGGCCGCTACCTGCACAAAGGACAGCACAAACACAGAACAAACACACACAGATTTCCATGCCTCAAATGGGATTCGAAACCACGATCCCAGTGTTCAAGCAGGCAAAGACAGTTCATGCCCTTGACCTTGCAGGCACTGTGATTGGCTGTATGGTTTTCATCACAAATAAATATGTAACAGAATGGGCACAAATCTCAATGTTTTTCAACATCCCAACTTGACTCTTTATTTTGGATATTTAACTTGAAATCAGTGCAGTCAAATCATAATTGAATGATGTTATTAATTAGAACAGGAGTTCTGAGCACAGCTACAATAGATATTTCATGGATTTCATTTACTGCAAATATCCAGATTTTTTCCTATCTGATAATGATGGTTTATGGTGTTAGCAGTTTGTTCATTTCTGTGTCATTCAGGTAAATTCCAGGAATTTGATTATGGACCCGTGAAGAACATGGAATACTATGGACAATCTGAACCTCCAGACTACAATTTGAAGAACATAAGTGCACCCATGTCACTGCATTATGGTACAGGAGACTTAATTGTCAGTCTAGAGGTGAGTTAGACATTCTCAGCATGTTATGAATTATTTCACAGTAAGAAGCAGTATGGGAGTATGATGAGCAGCCAGGATAGCTCAGTCATTATAGTGACTAGGCTATGGGCCGGACAAGTGAGGGATTAGGGTTTGATTTCCATCAGGTGCAAGAGGTTTTTCTCATTTCCATGGTGTCCACACCAGTTTTGGGGTCACCCAGCCTCGTATACAATGAGTACCAGGGACTTTCCTTAGAGGTAAGTCAGAAGGGGTGTGAGGTTGAGTACTCAGCTCCATCTGACTGCTGAGTTTAAAAATGGTGGAGCTATACCTTCACTTCCTGATACATGTTCATGGTGTGGTGCTTAATTAAGCACAAGGGCAACTTTATGACAGTATAATAATCTTTGGATGTGGGACCCTTAATGTCTCACAACCCTATGGGCCTTCATGGCTTGCTACAGGGATAGCTTTACTTTGGGGTATGCAGTAATGTAGTGGTTAAGGTACTATGCTACAAGCCGGAAGGTCGCGGGTTCAAGTCCCGATGAGGTCATTGGATTTTTTTCAGTTGACCTAATCCTTCTGGGGTTTACTCAGCATCTAACAGAAATGAGTACCAGGAATTAATTAAATAATTTTCCTGGGGAGTGAAGTGCGGCCGGCGCATAAGGCTAACAACCTTACCGCCATCTTTGAGCCGATTGTCAAGGTAATGTGGAACCCTTAACATCTCACAATCCTATGGGCCTTCACAGCCTGTTGTTGTTGTTATTGGAGAGGGTGGGTTTCCCCATGCACTTAGACCAGATATTGGTCCATTGTGCGTCCCCCTGTGATATTCTACAAGTCTCTATTCCCTACCGGTACTGGTGCATGCCATCAGTCCTGACTCAGCCAGCGAGTTCGGCCTCTACTGGCTCAGCGGTATCTCGATGTTTCCCCCATCTACCAGAGGCGTTGGAGACTACTGTTGGGCGGGAAATGTCCTTGAATCTGGCTCAGAGGTCCCCTTGGGACATGAGGTTCTTTTGCATGCCGTAAAGCTATGACACGGGACCCACGGCTTAAAGTCCCACCTGGAGGACTTTTTCCCTGAATTTTTCCGCCCTTAAAAATTCCACAACCTCCGCCGGGTTTGAACCCGCGTACCTTGAGTCACGAGGTGGAAACGTTACCCCTAGACTATGGAGGCCGCTTTCATGGCCTGTTACAGGGATAGCTTTACTTTTTACTTTTTTTTTATAATAACCTTTGGTGTTGCTTTCTAAATTGAATAATCCATTATTTTCGTTAAAAATATATCACATTAAGCATTCTGCATTTTATGTAATGTGTACATTATAGCATGTAGACCCTTTGCTGGGTAACGATCACAAAATGACACCCATTGCTGGGCAGCAGATTGTTAATAGACAGGATTACACAACCCGTTTCTGGGCAGCAGGTCAGTAAACACGTTACTGCAGCAACAGACATGAACACAAGAATAGAAGAACAGTGTCTTTATGTGGTCTGTGCTGAGAAGTGATAACTAGGACATTTGAAGCAATGAGTCAGTTGAGTTGAATTCTGTACAGGAGGCTGTGAAGATAAAACCTGAAAAATCTCCATTGTTAGAAGGCATTGTCAGGGAACGACTAGTGAAGACACAGCAGGCTGGAAACAGCTTAGTGGGTGCTGTGGTGATTTGTGAATTGGGGAGATTGATGGTGGAGCTGTAGTTAATTGCATTTCCAAGTCACATATGCATGAGTGGTCAGTAAATCCATTCACCAAACTAAACTCCGTCTGTAGTCATTCCACGCACACTACATGACAATATTATAATTAAAAATCACTTTTCACATTTCTCTGACCTCATTAACCAGAATTCTTGTAATTTTTATGGTTCTCTCCAGTAATGCTGAATTTATCCTTTGTGATCTTTCCCTCTGTTTCTTCTCTTTTGCCCTCTAATTCTTCCTCCACCATTCCACTGGTAAACATCAGGACTCAAGTTAAAGTTCTGAAATGAACTGTTGACTGTGCAGGTACAGTTGCAATAAGGAAACTGAGAAGATTTTATTCCACAATTAAAGAGTCATCTCAGTCTGAAGCAAAATCATTTTTTGTGACAAAAAACATTTTATTCATCTCTGCATATAACCCTTTGTATTCCCTGTCATTTAGATGTTGATTCTGAAGTAAAATGCCTATTACAATAAAATATACTTCAAATGGAATTCCAGGAGACCTGAACATTTTTCTGTTTCAGACAGGTTTCTGTTTAACACAGGTACCTACTTCCCGATAAATTAATTAAGCATAGGGACAACTTTACCTTTACCTTACTTAAGAACGCTCTCTTGCTTTGCATGACAACTTCTTTTGGTGAATCGTTGGTATCCATAGATGCTGATTGTAAATAAAACGTATTTATGAGTAGAGAGTTCAGTTGCTTCAATGTATGTATTGAATGAAATTTCGTGATATCCCTGAATTTGAAATACATTATCCCTTGCCTGTTATTTGTGATTGCAGGGTATTCAGCATCTGTCTGATGAGCTGCCTCATCTGGTGGCCTTGAGCCGAGTTCAACCTCCCAGTTTCAACCACATAGATTTTTTATTGGCAAGTGATGCCAAGTCTCTTCTTTATGATCATATTCTGAACCTCATGACTGTTTACTGATAATTAACAAAATTATTGGAGCTAAATAGTTAGGATGAAAGTGAATGACCTTGAAAAGAAAAACATTTATTTCGTTATAAGTTATTTAGTATATTGAGAGTTCATGCCATAATGCAGCCTGCTCTAGCCCTGTTTAGTTAGCTGGACCTCATTTTTCTGAAACTCTCAGTATATGTTCCCCTTTGTGGCTTATATTTCCAGATGTTTTTAAGAGATTTCTTCACCTACCATTCTCTCCAAATATCTATGAGAGTAATTTCTTTTTGTCACTTACATAAGTCCTTTGTAGTGCCTCTGTGATCTAGTGGTCAGAGTTCTTGGCTACAGATCCAGAGGTCCCGGGTTCAATTCCCAGCGCTACCAGATTCTCTGAGAAATAGTGGGTCTGGAACAGGGTCCACTCAGCCTCGTGAAGATAATTGAGGAGCTATTTCAAGGAAATAGCAGCTCCAGCCTATAAAACCGAGATTAACGCCTGTGGGTATCTGTTGCACTAACCACGCGACACCCTATATCTGCTAAAGTTGGCACTACCTTCGTCGACAAGTGGCAGTCGCTCAGTCGGTATAGTTCACTTGCAGACTGCAGGCCATGAAGTTCTTGAATATACTTCTCCCTCTGCTTACCCATGAGAGTACAACCCTATATTTTCTTAGGCACTGTATCTCAAATTATCAGAGGCAGAGGTACTTGCATGACCATTGATGCAACAATCATTAAATAAAACTGATATTAACTTTTTAATATCCCATTTTATTACACATACCATTACGTGTATCTATCTGTATGTTCTTCACATGGTTACATAAATGTACAACCATCATGATTGAATTGTTTTGATTAAAATAGATCCTTAGTAGTAAAATACATTAAGTTGTAGGTACCTTTGTTTAAATTTTGATATGTGTCATGTAAATATCTTATATGTTAAAAAAATAAAAATTTAAAGTTGGATAAACTGAATATTTAGTAAAATAATTGTATCTGCAATGGTTGGATGTGCACATCATGATGGCCTACATTGTTGTTGTTCATCTTTGGGGATGTGAGTTGATTGGACAGTCTAAGTAGTTCTGTGTATTGAAGACCTAACACATAGCAATGGCTTGTAGAATGTTCTTTAGTGTGGACTGCTGGCTATTGCAACTATTTATTTTCAGATTTTTAGTTCATATATTGTGTGTGTCTTGTATGACTTGTGTACTTAAGGTGTATACTTAATGACACTGAGTCCATTTGATACTGTGGCCACTACTGGCCTNGCCACTTCTGGCCTATTGTACCAGCCCCAGATGATAGGTGAGGGTGATTGTGGAGCAATTGGTGGTATGAAGGTTGGCAGGGGAAACTGAAGTACTCGGTGAAAACCGCCCCCAGTGCTACTTTGTCCACCACAAATCCCACATGACCTGACCCGGGCTTGAACCCAGACAGCTGTAGTGGTATTTAAGGTGTAGCTATAGACTGCTAGATGGTGACTGAACATTATTAAATTTTAAATTTCTCCCTATTATCAACTTTATTCTAATCTTTGGTCTTCATATGGTTGACAGAAAGGACAAAAGTAGAAAACGGTGTGGAGTGCACTTATTTTCAAGACGTCTTTTTGTAACAGTTAATACATCATTGGCCTTCATATTAATTTACTGCAGATATAAATATAGTATATTACTGCAAACACAAATAAATTGTTGCAAAATTGTTCAAAATAGATGCTACACTGTACAGAATCAAAACTTGTGTTTGCTCAAATTTCCTTACATATTCACCATACCAAAAGCCTCCCAAATCTAATCTGTATTCTTAGTTATAGACCTCTGTACTCTACAGTAACCCATTTTATATAAAATTTCTCAAATTTCAACTTTGGCTTCTTGTAAAGTGCTATGATGGACCCAGTGTAACCAAAATTAAGTAGGAATGTTTGTGTAAAATTTTGGATTGGACCAATTCTTATCAACCTGGAAGAGAAGTGTGATTATTTTTGGGTACCATGATACGCGTGGTATCTATGGCATATATGGCATCCCATCCAACTTCAGGCTTTGACTATGGATGTAAAATATAGATATTTTAATTACAAACAGAGATCAATAAATTCCAGGACGTAAAAGTCACGTAGATGTGCCTTGTACTTTATACCTACGTTGTCAAGAATTTCAGCTCCTCTGTTCCTCTGCATCTTGAATTCCACTTATTCTTTCCCTTCAATTGGCAAGATTTGAAAATCAAGCTGCATATCATTCTTCTGAATTCTCTGTACTTCAGTAGCCCGAACTGAAGGAAATTACTGTAAGCAAATTCTGTATTTGAGAATATAACACCATGTATGCCACTGAAAGTCAACTGATGTTTTAGAGGAACGTGTCTTCTCCATCTTCAGGGTTGAAGAATAAGCCATGCTGGTTTCTTGCTTGGCTTATTCTTCAACCCTTGAAGATTGAGGAGAGATGTTCCTCCAAAACATCTTCATAACCATGACTGTGAGAACCTCAAATCGTACAAGGGGAGCATAGAAGGACTTTGTAGCTACTTCATGACATTCTTTGTTTTCTGTAACTGTATATGTTCTAGTAATGTCTTCCTGCTCTGTGGGTTACATGCCTCCTCTTGAAGATGAACAATGTGTTTTTACATTCTTCCTTAATATAGTGTAGCAGCAGTTAGCAGTCACTGTATTTCTGCCTGACAGGATGAAGTTTATGAATGCTGAAATTAGTGTTCTACTCTCCACCACCTGCTTGGATTAGTTTACCTAGAACTGTATCATTAATTAATCAATTAACTCCATGAGACAGAACCCTTCTTGAGAAGCCACAAATCACTCAGCTGCTCAAGAATTTCCCAACATTTTATGAAGCCTGGAGCTTCATTACAATATTCACAAGAGCCCAAAGCCAAGCCAGATCAGTCCAGTCCATACCACCCCATCCTATCTAAGTTCCATCTTAATATCCTCCCATTTATGTCTATATCTCCCAAGTAGTCTCTTTCCTCACAACTTTCCCACGAAAATCCCATATGCGTTCCTTTCCTCCCCATGCATACTACATGCCCTGCCCATCTTATCCTCCTAGCCTTCATTATTCTAATTATACTTTGTGAAGAGTATATGCCTAAATTATGAAGCACCCATTAAGCAGTTTTCTCCAACCTCTTATAACTTCATCCCTCTTCAGTCCAAATATATTTTCGCGCGTTTCCTAGGCAACACGACAAGAAATTTATGTGGGTTTCAGATTCTGCGAAGATGTTTATTGGACTATCACTTTTTACACTTGCAAATACAATTATTCTCAACTTATAACATCATCAGATGTTTCCTCTTCACTATTACAATTACTTGCACCGCTGATCTTGGTGAAGTGTCTTCTGCTCTGCTTGGAGCTCATCTGTCCTTAGTGCTTGTTGGATGCGAACTAACTCTCCTGTTGGATACAAAACTTGCTGTCTCTTGCTGAATATGAACTGTTATATCTTGCACTCGGACTGATTAGAGAATACCTTGTTGAAGGGTTAATTTCGCCCGCTGCTATGCAAACACTGCTTCAAACAATGCATTGCTTGGATATTGCTAGCTGTTGTATAGCAATGGGTGCATTCTGAACGTTGCTCGTTGCCTATGAAATCAACCCAGATCTCACTAAACCATTCCAGCTTTCTGGCAGCATGCCACAATTTCTCCTCAGCAACCTGTCCTCAAACACCATTAGTCTGTGTTACTCCCTTAACATCAGAGACCAAGTTTCACACCTCTATAGAACCAGATGCAAAATTATAGTTCTGTATATACATTTTTAGGCATCAGACGAGAAGGCAAAATATTCTGGACTCAATGGTAGCAAGCATTACCAAAATTCAATCTCTTAATTTCCTTATAAATTTGATTTATTACTGTCATTACCAAATATCTGAACTATGCCATATTTTTCAAAGGGTCTGTTACCTGTCTTTACATTATGATCTAGTGATCTAGTGATTCTATGAAACAGCAACATATACCTAGTGTTCTCTGTGTTAAATTCTAGAACAAACTCATTACTACAGTCGGTTAGTGTTTCTGTGTTTTTCTTTATGGTATCTATGTTATCTTTCAGTAGATTAACATCATCATAGACCTGCAGCTGATGTATCCCATTTTGTTTCAGTCCCACCCACGGTTCCTGGATTTCCCTAATGGCATATTCTAAAGCAAAGTTGAGAAGCAATGGCAACAAAGCATCTCGTTTTAAACCAGTCTGGATGGAAAATAATTAGACAAATGTTTACCTATATGGATTTTACCAATGTTTTGTTTAAATACATTTTAATCAACCTAACTAGTTTCATTGGTACCCCAAATTCTATCAGAATATTTTACAATACTTCCCTCCTAACTGAATCATAGGCTTTCTTGAAGACTATGAATAGCTGATGTACTGTCTCATTGTACTTACATTTTTTCTGCAGTATCTGATCAGTAATTGATCTGTTAGTCAAAACCCACTCTGATGATTCCCAATAATTTCACATATGTATGGACTTAACCTTGAGAGAAGAATATTGGACAAAATTTTGTATGAAGTTGATAGCAGTGATATCCCACGATAATTGTGAATCACTTTTATCACTCTAGTAGTAGATCTGTTATGTCAAAACCCATGTAAATGATCCCCAATAATTTCATCTATGTATGGACTTAACCTTGAGAGAAGAATATTGAACAGAATTTTGTATGTAGTTGATACAAGTGATTTCCCCCCAATAATTACTAGTCAGTTTTATCACCCTTCATGTGAACAATTGTACATGGATCAAAAAGTTAAGAGTACGACTGGACAGAGGGGAGACAAGAAGTGTGCAGATTGGAAGAGGAGTTCGACAAGGATGCTGTTTATCACCAATTCTTTTCAACTTGTACAGCGAATGCCTTACCAAGGAAGCTCTGGATGGGCTTGGAGACTTCAAATTAGGAGGGCAAATTATTCAAACTGTGAAATATGCAGATGACCTTGTGTTAATGGCTAAGGAAGAAACTGTGCTACAGGGCATGATTGATAGACTAATTGAAATTGGAAGGTGCTATGGCATGGAAATGAATGTGGAAAAAACAAAA